CATCATCATCATCATCATCATCATCATCATCATCATCATCATCATCATCATCAAGTCTTTTTAAGGGGCTACTGTAAGTAAAACCAACGACAGCCCTGTGTATGTTGAAACAACAGAGGCCAGGAAACTATGACCCACCAATGGTATAACACTACAGATATTGTGTCCCTGCCGGTCAATATCAGGCATATGTAGGACATTTCAAAACTGAGTTAACATCATCTTATAAAACTATCACCTTTTCCCTACAATTTAAAACAAGAGTGAAGTAAACATGACCATATTATTTGATGAAAATACAGAACTTTTAATTGTGCGAGGTGGGGAAACACGAAAAGGAGAAAATGGCCTACTAAGTTGAGCAATAATTTTCCATAGCAATGGGGACTTAGAATTGAGATAGAGACTTGAAATTTATCGTCCATTATAGTCGTTTATTTTATCTTAAATAAAGCAGAAGGCATAAAACTTTCACTTGATTTCCCCCCCCCCCCTAAAAAAAAGAAAATATTCATGGAAAGCTACTTTTTTTGCCTTTCGAGCCTCGTAGCTGATAATACCACACTGCGTCTTACGACTGATATTGACAGGGGGAGACAGATATATGTATTTTGAAACATCAGGAAACTATGACCCACCAATGTTATAACATAACACTACAGACATTATGTATATGTGAGGCACCTTGGTGAAATCAGGCGCTCGTCAAAAAAACGGAATTGGAGAAACAAACATTTTCCCCCCAGTTTGGCAGTTTTGATCGATTTTTTAAATTAAAAACACATTTAGAATTACATTTTAATGAAAAGCGTTGACTAAAGACACACAATATCATTTTTCAATTTTTAAAGACTCTTTAGACCTTACTTGGAGTTACCAAACTTTGGCAGCCATTTTCTCGCTAATTTTAACCACTGAAACGAGGAGACTTCACCTCATTCAATTGCAAATATTTTCACTTCTATTCAAGACAAACGTGTAATTTTTTCATTGAAAGCAAGGACATGAGCAAGCTTTAAGCAGATAACAATAACCCCACATGCCCAAAAATTGACGAGCGCCTGATTCCACCACGTCGTGACACATATTAAAACAACAGAATCCAGGAAACTATGACCCAACAATGTAACAATATTACAGATATATGTATATATTGTACACTACAGATATATGTATATATTGTACACCACAGATATATGTATATATTGT